CAGGCTGGCCTCGAACTCACAGAGATCCGCCTGGCTCTGCCTCCCGAGTGCTGGGATTAAAGGCGTGCGCCACCACCGCCCGGCGAAAATAAATTCATTTCACACACAATATATACTGATTATAGTTTCTCCTCCCTCTACTCCTTCCATTTCCTCCCTACCTCCACTCTGCCCTGGATCCACTCCCTTTCTGTCTCTCATTGAAAAGAATATGCTTCTAAGAAATAACAACCAAGCGTGACAAGATAAAACATAGTAAGATAAAGTAAAAACTATCATATTGAAATTGGACACAACAACCCAGCAGGAGGAAAAGAGCCCTCAGAGGAGACACAAGAGTCAGAGACACAGTCCTTCTCACAGTCAGATGTGGTGATATTTTGTTTGTGCTTTAACAAATAAATCTTACTTGAAGATCAGAGTGTGGTGCTAGCCACTAGAGACCAGGCAGTAGTGGCACACACCTTTAATCCCAGCACTTGGGAGGAGCAAACAGAAAGTGATATGGCTGGATGGAGAGAGGAAGTGATAAGGTGGGGTGGAGACAGGAGTTTGACCTTTTCAGGCTGAGGATTCAGGAGAGGTAAGAAGTCTTTCTAGTGGCTGGCTCAATTTCTGATCTTTCAGCATTTACCTCAATATCTGGCTCTGGGTTTTTATGATTAAGACCAATTAGAATTTGTGCTACAGTAAAAATTCCCATAAAAATAATAAGCTAATAGCTATAACACACATACAGAGGACCTGGTTCAGACCCATGCAGCCCCTGTGCTTGCTGCTTTAAACTCTATGAACTCATATGTTCCTTGCTTTGTTGATTAAGGGGACCTTGTTCTCCTGGTGTCCTCCATCCCCTCTAGCTTTTACAATCTCTCTGCCACCTCTTCCACAAGATTCCCTGATGCCATAGGGGAAGGATTTGATGGAGACCTCCCATTTAGACTCTCTCTGTCTGCATAATGTCTAGTCATGAGACTCTATATTTGTTCCCATCTGGTGCTGGATGAAACCTCTCTGATGAGGACTGGACTGGGTACTGATCTATGAGTATAGCAGACTATCGTTAGGAGTCATTTACTGATATTTCTTTTTATTTTTCAGACCAGTACTTTTGGTTTTACCCTAGGTCTCTGGGATATCCAGTCTTTGGTTCTTGGTTACCTGAGCAGTGTTGCATATGGGTTACTTCTTTGTGAGTGGGCCTTAAGTCAAATTAGACATTGGTTGGCTTTTCCCACAAGTTCTGTACCACCATTACCCTAGCATAGCTTGTAGGCAGAACAGATCATAGGTCAAAGGTCTTATGGCTGGGGGTGTGTCCACGTTTCTCTTTTGGTAGATTGCAGAGTACCCTCCTATACAAAAGAGACTAGATAGAACACAGGGGGTTGTATGGGTATTACCCTCAACAATGGGGCCCTGATGAGAGTTTACAGAGAATAACCCTTTGTCTTAGCAACAGCTTGGGTTGTTGGGGGGTTTTCATGGGACTCTGTTGGACAACAACTCAATCAAATGGAAACCAGTCCTGCCACTGGAAGTCTTGTCTGGTGACAAGAGATGGCTTGTTGGGACTCTGTATCCCCATTACTTGGAGTCCTCATTTCGATCACCTTCATACATTCCAGGAAGCTCATCACACTTTTCCAATTGTATTTATTTTTCATTATTCCGTGTGTGTGTGTGTGTGTGTGTGTGTGTGTGTGTGTGTGTGTGTTTCTGCTTGCTGCACAGAGTACAATTTTAAATGTCAGTATGGGTAGTAGCATGTATACTTGGGCTCAGACAGAAGTTTGAGTCACCTTTCCCTCTCTCATCCCCTTTGGAATAGAAGGTGGCATATTCCTTCTTTCCGAACACTTTTGGGGTGCTCATGTTATATGTTAAGTCACTAGTAGGAAGAGGGGTGTGAGCTTGGCTTGTGGTGAGGCACAATGAGTCTAGGAAAGATGGAAATAGCCCAAGCCTGCCTCAGCCCCGCCATTTCTCCAAGCACCTTCCCCAAGGTGATAGAAATAAGAGAAAATGGGGACTAATTCCCCATGTCACTAAAGATTTGAGGGGAAAGTCATTTTGTACTCAGAGATAGCTATCACTGGAATATCATTTGGATCTCGGATCTTCCCTCTTTGCCTGGGAGCCGAAAGACAAATCTGACATTTACCATGTGGGACAGTTACTGATGAAGCAACAGTGACAGTTAACTAATGATAAACGCCCTGGCTTTGCCTTCGGTGGAAGAAGCTATTATCACAGCTCTTAGAGAGCAGGCAAAGCAGTTAACTGGTAATTGTCTAGATTTCTTTGTCATTTAAATGAAGATACAAGATGGAGGGGAAAGAAAGCAAAAAGTAAAATTAGGCTGGTTCCTTTCCGTTCAGAAAAAAAAAAATTGTTCTGGAGAGGAGGCAGTGGAATGTGGATTTCAGTAAGACCCTGAAACTAGCCATGCCAGCAGAGCAGACAGATGGTAAGGCCTGCAAGATGAGGAAGTTTCGGCTCTCTTCTTCCCTGGTGTCCTATGGCCACAAATGCTTACTTATGAAAACAGATGCCATTTACAGGGCAATGCAGAACAGCCAAATGAGAATCAAGAAGTGCCATTTATCCAGAGCTTACAGTAGCCAGAGGGTCTGCCAGAGTTTCAGATGCACATAGAGGAGAAAGATATTTGATAATGAAAAAACGGAAAAGGCTCAAGTGTGCATTGATGGAGAGGCTTTGGCCTAGAGAAGCTGGTAGTGGACAAGCTATACTTAGAGTACCCTGTGTGCTTAATGAGGGATGTATATTTGACTTTGTCTGATAGGTATAAAGTCGAAACCTTCAGTTATTAATCTTGTCATTTTAATCAGATTGTGATACAAGTCACTGGCTGCTTTTCTGAATTGTTGCTACTTATACACTTCTTACAAGTACTGTTGGGCTGTAGATTTAGTGTAGATAAAAGATGACCTCTTGGAGAAGGGACTGCACATTGCAGAACAGAGTTCTCCTTTTACACAAGCAGGCCAGTGTCGTCTTGATAGTTATAGTCTCTCACTTATAACTTTGTCACTCAAAAACTGATCTAAAACCAGCACTCTTACAATCAACTTGAGTCTTTAAAAAAATGCAGACTTCCCCAGCTCAAAAATACCAAACTCTAGGGCTGGAGAAATGGACTAGAGTACTGACTGCTTTTCTAAAGAATGGGAGTTAGATTCCTAGTAGCCATGTTGGGCAACTCACAACCACCTATAATTCCTGTTCCTCTTCTGGTTTCTGTAGTCACCTAAATACAACACACACACACACACACACACACACACACACACACACACACACACACAAAGAAAAACTATTTTTAAAAAACCTCCAGAATCTACCAGGTTATTATTCACATCAATGTTTGAGAAATACTCGACTATGATATGATATGACATACTGCACCACAATTTATTGTACCACTGCATTAACTCTATCTTAAACACAAGAAAATGAAGACTTGAGAGACAGGTGACTGACGAAGCATGTATTCTATAATTCTAATAGCCAGATCAAGATTGCCACTAGCTTCCAAGCCGTGCTTTTGGTGTTCAACCTGAACAAAAGCACTGCTTTTTCTCCAGTGAAAGGATTAATAGTGGTCTGGATGACAGAACCATATGCTAACAAGATGGCTAGATCAACTCTGTATAACAGGATACCAGCTGACATGATGATTATTGTCAATGAAGATGCTGATGAGGTGTCATTCAGATTAATGAGTATTAATAAACACTAGGTCTCTATGACAAGGACATCATGAGCAAACGTTAAAGTTCTACCTTTGGAGTGTAGTTCATTGAGATTTGACATGTGACATTTCCTCCATCTCATTGGGACCAGAGATTAATATTTTATAGTTAATATTCCTAAGCAAGCATAGACCTTCACAGAAAATAAACAAATAAAGCAAAGGTAGGTTTTATTTAACACATGGGAATTTTCTAAGCTCTCATAGAATCTGAGGCTGTCAACAAAGAAATTAAAGAAATTTTTAAAAAGAAATAAAAAAAGAAAACCTATGTAAAGCCTATGAACCACAATTACTAACTAATTACTAATATATAAGCAAGATATACTGAAAGGGAATAGTGCCTTAAACCTCATGGGTAACTCACAGCTACCTAATTGGACTTAAGTCCAAATCAATAGGAGGGAAATGATGCCTGGTATTGTAAATAAAGCCAACTGCCCATAGCTGATGAGAACATTGTTGCCAGAGGAAAGCCTAATGAAGTCACATTCCTAAACCAGTAAAATTCTCAACTGCATTCTAAATACACATCCTTATATCCAAAGATAAGAGTAGCTCTCACCCCTCATTAAAAATCTTCTTTTCCACCAATGAAGACCATCACAGAAATGTATATCTGGTCAAAATGTGGAGAGCAATTGCCTAGTCCTAACTGATATGTCTACAACACAACCAATACACCTGCTGCTCAGGGAACAATGTTAAAGAGGGGGCAGAAAGATTCTAAGAGCTATGAGACCATGAGATAGTGTCTTCTTTATGTTAAAAGAAGCTGTTCACCCATAAAATCTCAACATTTGGTCACTAAACACGAACTGAGCAATGAATGACAATATCAGTCGACACATTAATGTGGATGGGAGAAAATGTCACAAGGTCCCACTTCTAGATGAAGAACTATGGACAATAAATGGCTGCTGTGAGAGAGAATCAGTTTTTTCTATTGATGATGTTGAATAACCCCTTGATAGATTATCCAATCCCAAATAGTCATCATTAAACACATGTATTTATCTTCTTTAAAAACTTGTATATATGTATATAGAAGCAACTATAAATGGACTAAGAAGGTTGTATTTACATGCATACACATACACACAATGTAACAATCTAGTTAAAGAAGAGGTCATGAGGTCAAAAGGGAGTAGAGGTCACAGAAGGAGCTAGAGGGAGGATAGGAAAAGATGGAAATGGTATAAATACAATACTCAATGTATGAAATTCTCAAAACAATGAAATACATATTATAGAAATTCAGAAAAATAATGCTTTTAGCATTATCATTTTAGAGAACAGAGAAAGACTTGCTCTTGGTATTCTAGGATTAGAAAGCTGTGGTTGGGAATCTAGCCACTGAGCATGTGCAAACAAATTTGGAATGCTACAGAAGTGTGTCATCAAGAAACCACAGTCCCTGCTTCCAAGCTATGATACAAAGGGGTGAAAATATCTGACTTTTCTCTATGAGACTGCCCTTTGATCAGACTCAAAATGTTTAGTGATAGACTTCTATATACTCTGCTGTCCTCCAAGTGGCCAGGTGAACAACAGAAGCCCCCAGAAGCACCATGGTTGAGAGCTAAAAGCTCATTGCAAAGACTGTATCATATGAAGTTCAAATAAAACCAGCAATGTTGGACTTTGATCTTTGATCTCTCTCTCTCTCTCTCTCTCTCTCTCTCTCACTCCCTCCCTCCCTCCCTCCCTCCCTCTCTCCCTCATTTTTCTTTGAGAATTTCATTCAATATATTTGGATAATGTTCATCCCCTTCTCCAAATCCTCCACCCCTTTCCCTACTCACACAACTTTATGTCCTCGTTTTTTGTCTGTTTAATTCACTCTTCTACTTTTTTGCCCACATTTTGAAACAAGTAAAGATATTAAATTAACCTGCTGATGCTGTCTTTTGCATAAAAATTATTTTATAGGAAAATGTAAAAGCAAGACCGACTAACTCCAACTTTTTTTAACATTTACAGAAAAAACAAGTATTTTATTTATTCTTATCTTCTCAAAAATGTTTATATCAATGATACAATTTCTTACTACATTTTAATTCTCAGAATACTGAATGTAAAGACTCCATAAATTCACAATTTTAATAAAGTGATCACAAAACCCATTATATAATTGCAGTTACTAGTTTTAAACGTATTTTTTACCATAAAATGTAATACAAATACTTTTAAACATTTTATTTTCTCCAAATAGAAATAAATAATCCCATTCTATATAAACAAATAACAATCCAGAAAAGCTTAGCTGAATTGCACATCTAATAAAGAATCATTACATATGGTCTAGAGGATAAATTTCCATGACAAAATTTGGACTCAGAGTAACTTATATACCAGTTTTAAGTAATAATTCATCCCAAAGAATGAAACTAGAAAAGGGAGGTTAAAAAGACCATTTCTCTCCACTTCTCTTCCTGACACACACACACACACACACACACACACACACACACACACACACACACATAACTTTATTTTCCTGGATACAATTTCAAGATTTCATTATTTTTCCATAGGGTATACAGTTTTACACTGCTGACAGGAAAAGACATTAAGAAAATGGAAGCCATTTTACTTCTTCTTGAGACTAGAAACTTTTCCTAGGACATTGTGTTCAGTCAGGTTCATGATTTATTTCTTTGGAAAGCTCAATAGTGAGAACTCATGGGAACCCTGAGAATTATTTCTCCCATGCATTGCAGTGATGACCTA